AGTGATGAAAAATAAATAAAAAATGTCTCAAGTTTGGCAAAACAAAATGCCAATGCGAGAAGCAAACGATCTTGTTTTAAAAAGACAATGACAATTACAAAAAAACACATAGAGCCATTGGTCCATAAGAGGCAGATGACCAATGTCCATAAATGTTGATAGATGTCCATGGATGTCCTTAAATACAATGGATCATAAACACTGTCCACACCCTCCTGCAACCGCAAGGATTAACTCAGAAACCACAGCGGGAAAAAGTGAGAAACTTTAGGGAGGCTCACATTGAGAGAGGAATTCATCCACATGGACATATGGACTATAGATCCCGGACTGAGGCTGTAGAGCGAAGACTGGATTTAGCCCAAAAGAGTGCGTTTGATATGCCTGAACTACATTTATCTACATACTGAAGTGCCTTGCGAAAGTATTCTTGAACCTTTCAACATTTCGCCACATTTCAGGCTTCAAACATAAAGATATAAAAATTTAATTTTTTGTCAATAATCAACAACAAGTGGGACACAATCGTGAAGTGGAACGAAATGTATTGGATAATTTAAACTTTTTTAACAAATAAAAAACAGAAAAGTGGGGCGCGCAATATTATTCGGCCCCCTTGCGCTAATACTTTGTAGCGCCACCTTTTTCCGCAATTACAGCTGCAAGTCGCTTGGGGTATGTCTCTATCAGTTTTGCACATCGAGAGACTGGAATTCTTGCCCATTCTTCCTTGCAAAACAGCTCGAGCTCAGTGAGGTTGGATGGAGAGCGTTTGTGAACAGCATATCCTTATATCCAAACATATCCTTTTGCATTGTGGCCAAAATGTTCGATTTTGGTTTCATCTGACCAGAGCACCTTCTTCCACATATGTGGTGTGTCTCCCAGGTGGCTTATGGCAAACTTTAAACGAGACTTTTTATGGATATTTTTGAGAAATGGCTTTCTTCTTGCCACTCTTCCATAAAGGCCAGATTTGTGCAGTGCACGACTGATTGTTGTCCTATGGACAGACTCTCCCACCTCAGCTGTAGTTATCTGCAGTTCATCCAGAGTGATCATGGGCCTCTTGACTGTATCTCTGATCAGTCTTCTCCTTGTTTGAGATGAAAGTTTGGAGGGACGGCCGGGTCTTGGTAGATTTGCAGTGGTCTGATACTCCTTCCATTTCAATATAATTGAACCCTGAGACTATCAAAGAACAGGTGCATTTATACGGAGACTTGATTACACACAGGTGCATTCTATTTATCATCATCAGTCATTTAGGACAACATTGGATCATTCAAAGATCCTCACTGAACTTCTGGAGTGAGTTTGCTGCACTGAAAGTAAAGGGGCCGAATAATATTGCACGCCCCACTTTTCAGTTTTTTATTTGTTAAAAAAGTTTAAATTAGCCAATACATTTTGTTCCACTTCACGATTGTGTCCCACTTGTTGTTGATTCATGACAAATAAAAATGTTATATCTTTATGTTTGGAGCCTGAAATGTGGCAAAATGTTGAAAGGTTCAAGGGGGCCGAATACTTTCGCAAGGCACTGTATATTTCCGCTATTGCACTACACTGGTTAATGCTAAAATACATTTTGTTGCATTGTTTTGACTAAACAGTGTAGCAATTCAGAGATTAAGAGATTCTTTATTCGTCCCATAGTGGGGAAATTTCAGTGTTGCATCACCAGTTACAGACAGTAGGACTGAGAAGCACACAGCACACGATAAATGAGATGGCTAGGCTAAATTCTGAATTCTAAAGATTCACTCGAGCGCAATACATACGTGACGGTAAACTCAGATCCAATCGTTTCAATCTGCAAGAGGAGTTAACCCCTCACACCTGTTAACGGAGCTCAATGGAGCACCTCCAGACCTTTAGTGCGTTCATTGAACACGCTCATTTTTTTGTAAACGTTGAACTGAACGCAACACATTTTTTAATAAAGAACTTGAACGTGAATCATTATGTGTCATGAATGGCAGACATCACTGTAAATGAACGGTGGAGTGACATCTGTTTTCTCTTTTGAAACACGACAAGAGAAAGTTCCTCCCTCCTGTTTTCTCCGCACTTTTTCAGCGTAAAACTAAAAATTCCCACGGTTTCCACTGTCTGTGAACGCACTCCGACTCTATTTTGCAGAGTGGCGCTGTATGCTTGTGCTTTTCATGGGTTGTTGGACTCACATGTGCCGTGATGAAAACAAAGGGTGAGTTAGCGACACAGGGCCAACCGTTTACATTTGACATAAAGTATAGGAGGATCTTTGTTTACACCCGCGTTCGCATGCGCCCCTCGCACGCATGCGCCCCTCGCTGTGTGGCAAGAAGACAGAGCGGCGCATACTGAAGCAAGGATGCAACTAGTACTTTTAAAAGACTCAGTGGGTGAATAACACTGTATATATGCACGTTAAGGCAAGAAGATCAGAGGAGATATAAAGACAAGCTATAACTAAGTATATAAGACCGAACTGAACAAATTCAAAGCCCATATGAGACCTGGGATGACGAGAAGAAACATTGCTCAGACTCACCTCTGTCTTGGCACCGATCTGCTGGAACTGGGACTCTGAGACATTTATTCTTCCTTCATAGAAAACCCGGGACCCTTCACTCAACAACGGTCCGTGGTATAAATCCATTTCTCGCGTTTTTCGCAGCGGTAAAGTGGCCCGGCATTTCGCCACATATTAAAAGCGGGTTGCCCCTGTTTGCTGTTACTTACGGTAAAGGTGGAACAGGAAGCCGAGGGGATGAGCAACCAAAATGCAATGTTTAAAATTAATCCTCATTCATGAATTAATGAATGAGTGAACAAGTGCACAGTGAAAATAGTTGCAAAACTCGAATTTGTTTATGAATTTTTATCCCCTCATCCCCCCCGCTTCCCGTTCTGCGTTTACCATAGGTAACAGCATAAAAGGGCTGTTTTTCGCTGTACTTTTCCGAAAGAATTAGAAAAAAAAACTTAATCTGTCCCCATCCGTACAACCGACCACACAACACGAACAGACCATTTGATTTAGTAAAACCTCTCTCCAAACGCCTAAAAACAGCTAAGTCTGTAGCATCCAGGTAGCTTTCTATGCTGTATTGCCACACAGTCACGTGACCGGAGCGGAAAAACTATAAACAACAACGTCACTCCAAGATCCTCCTATAGACACACGTACTGCAGTGCATTACTGTTTGTAGTGCTTGAGATGTAGTACTAGAGATGGGACAACTCAGTTTTGCTCCCATTGAAAACCATGTAAATATGTAACTCTTGTCTGTTTTGGAGTCAAAAGGCTCTCATCCTGTGCTGTGTACAGAATGAGTACTGAGCCACTGTCGCCCCATATATATTAACGTATTAAAAAATGACGTGTTCAAAATCCCTTATAAAGATGACCATGATTCAGAAAGTTAAATTCAAAAAGGTTTATTTCCCTAATACAAAAAGAATCTAAAACAGCTGTTCGGACCAAAAGTAACTATCCCTTATTCTCTATATAAAATATAAAAGTATGACTTTGAGTGGGCGCTCCACATCAAGTCACACACTGCCCCTGGTCCAGAAAAAACTAACTAACCACACATTCAAACTATCTACTATAAGTAAAATGTGCATGGGGAAGAAGGGGCGTGGTATCAGGCAGCTTCCAGGGTCCCGTGATCCGCCTTCCTCCATCTGGTCTCCTCTCCAGTCTGCACCTAAAAAGATTTCATGCTTTTCTAACCTACGTGTCTCCGGGCAGCTGTCTCTGGTCTGGATTCATCCCTGCTTGTCTAAACAAGTAGTGAGTAGACTGGCAGACTCCAGTGTCAACCCACTCCTGATGGAGTGGGTTCAATAATGCAGAAGTCAGCAGGGGCCAAGGCTAGGGGGACAAAATCCAAACAGCAGAACCCACCTGTTATTTAGCTGGTCCCCCAAGAAGACCCCTAAAACTAAATAAAAAGGACTGGCCTGCCACTCAGAGGTCGATAAATCTAAAACACATGGTTTTAGAATGTCACTTATTTATAAATACAACAGTTCCCCTCTCTTGGCCGCTATTAAAAAAGGCCACACATTTCAATAACCTTCCTCAGGCGACGGGACGGGGGAATCCTCAACCAATGCAAGCATTTGACCTCTCAGTCCAGGGTTAACAGCGGTGTCTATAGCTTTAACACAAAGAGAACGTATACAAGGTATACAACAGCATCCTACAACCATTATTATTGCAAAGATGGCCGCAAGGCTTGTGACAACAGACAAAATTACATGCTTCCACCTCCCCAAGATGCTGTCCAGCCACGCCTCCAGTGGGTTCTCCGGGACTCCAGAAACGTCCTGCATTTGCTCTGACAGCATTTTGAGACCAGCCAGAGCCCTGGAAACTGATCCATCTGGATGTGTGTTATTTGGAATGTATACACAACATTCTGTACCAAATAAACTGCAGACCCCCCCTCTCTCTGCTAATAACATGTCTAGAGCCACTCTGTTTTGAAATGCTACCAGAGAGGTGGCCCCAAGCTGCTCCGCCAATCCCTCTATTGCGTCCCTGGTGTGATTGGCAAGCCTGAGCATAGTATACCAAATGAAATTAATTCTATCTACATTTTTGTTTGGCGTAACAGGGAAAATAGCGGAAATTATTGGAAGATTTTCGAAACCTGTTGCAATTTGATCTACTAGTTTGAATTCATGAGGGACTCCACGTGGAACACCTATAGAGTCCATGTAAGTTGGATTATCTTTCCCAGTATCTAGGAATGGTATTGCTCTTTTAAATCTATGCAGTGGGTGGGGACTGTCTAGGGATGGCTTATGGCCAATTATGGAAATGGGCATCATTAATCGCACCATTGCACAACTGCCTGTAAATTTTTTTATTAGTCTATGTCTAAGTTTTAAATCTCCACACAACCAATACAAATCACCTCTGGTCCGGGTCATGTGGACCGGACTGGGCAGGGTGACGTTGTTGACACACCAGTCTGCTGGAAGGAACCCCCACTGGA